TTTAAGCCCATATCTTTTTGCTTTAGTTATGGATGGTCTTCCTGGACATTTACAGAAGGATGTACCTTGGTGTATACTTTTTGTTGATGATATCCTTCTCGTGGATAAGACGAGAGAAAAACCCCAAGAAAATCTTGAATTATGGAGGTCTACATTGGAGTCTAAAGGCCTTATTTTGAGTAGAACTAAAATTGAATACATGGAATGTAATTTTAATAGTAGTAGCTCCAGTGACAGAAGTGTAACTTTAGGTGATCAAATTATTAAAATGTTTGAACGATTTAGATATCTCGAGTCTGTTGTTCAAAGCGATGGTGATATAGATGGGTATGTTAATAGTAGAATTCAACTTGGTTGGTTGAAGTGGAGGAATGCTTCGGGCCTTTTATGTAAAAGAAAAGTACAGCATAGACTGAAAGGAAAATTTTATAAGACGCTGATGAGACCTGCAATATTCTATGGCACTGAATGTAGGCATTTAAAAGACAAGCATAATACTAAGTTAAGTGTTGCTGATGTTGTGAAAAATGACGGCAATAAAGCAAAAAATCCGGATCAAGAAAAATTGCAAAACATAAAACAACAGCAGAAACACACAGATTTACGTGGTTCGACAAATTGCCTACGTCCACGGAGCCGCAGAGAATTTTATTACTTTGAGGAATTACAACTGTCGATTCACCTCGAATATTACAATAAAACACTATTTCTCTCTCTTCCTCTCTCTAACTAAGAGTTACAGCGGATATCACAAAGAGAGAGAAAAACTTGTTATTGTTCTTCACGTAAAGCCACGCCAGAGAAGCCTGCTTCTCTCCTAACTAAAAAGCTACAGGAAGAAGAAGAATACTGGGAATAATCCAAAAGCCAGGCCTCTCTTTTCTTTTTATTCCCATAAGCAAAATCTAGCACCGGAGAAGGATTAAGGAAATTTATCAAATAATTAGCCCATTATTTATTTCCTTTCTATTAATTGATTCCAAAACATGGATGGTGGGACCCTCCTTCACACAAATAAGGAATTGATTAAATCCTTAATTCACTACAAAGCCTTATTTGTTAAAACACGGAGGCAGAAAAATAAATAATAACAAGGAAATAAATAATTGAATTAAGTGCAAATTCAATTATATTTCCTAATATGCAAAACTGTCCAAGAAATGAGTAGTCGATCGGGTTTCACAATACTCAACAATTTTCCTACTTGGAGACTGAGACACTAACAGTACATTCATTTTCCTCAAACATGATATCCTCCACTTTCCTCCACCTCTGCAACTCAAAACCCCAATTTTCATGCCAGAAGACCAGCTGAAGTCGAGTACAACTTCAGCTTCTTCTTTTTCCTGACCAACTCTCACTTGTTCGAACTTTCATTCTGTAAGAATTTTTCATAACTCTGTGGTTCTCCACTGTCTGTCTGTGGAATAATAGGAATGGGTGTCCCGGACCAACTCTCTTCTTCACTTCCATCAGTGTTTTGCACTGTGATCTTTGGTAGATCAACAAATCTTACATTTCTACAATGTAACTAGAGCCTCCAAGAGATGCCGCTGGAGAAGATCCACACACATCTTTGTGTACAAGATCCAGTTTTTCTGTCCTAGACGCTTTGCCACCTTCCTAGAAACTGACATTCTTTTACTTCTCCACAATGCACATCTGACTCATGTGTCCACATCTGAGTAAACTTGTAATCATAAATAGTCTGTCAGTTTTCTTAACCCGAGTCAGTACTAATGCTCCATTGGTAGTCTTTCAGGTGCTATCTGAGAACACTGCTGAATGACCACCCTCATTGAGCTACCCAGCAGAAACAAAGTTTTTCTTCAGCTCAAAAACGTGTCTGACCTTTTACAAAGTTCATTTGCTCTTGTTAGAGCATGCAATATCAACGTCTCTCATACTCACCACGTTCAGAGCTTTTCCATCAGCCAGATATATCTTCCCAAAGTTACCTGTAACATAATTTCACATCAACTCTCAGTAGGAAGATGTATGGAAGAAAGCCCCAGAATCCAGTATACAATCATCAACAAAGCTGTGAACTGTCAGCAATAGTGCATCCTGTATTCTTTCAGATACCACATTTGCGTTATCATTCTCATTCTTCTTAGGATTCCTGCAGTTCTTTTTTATGTGGCCAACATTGTCACAATTCCAACAGGTTGTCTGCTGACCAGGCTTTGATTTGATCTTCCTCTATTTGAGTTTTTGTCCTATGATCTCTCTCTGGAATCAACAATTAGCGTCGAACTCAAACCCGAGATCTCGCTAGAATCTTTTTTGCGCACCTTCTCAGCCAAAATCAAATCATGAATATCATCATATTTCAATTTAGATTTACCTGCAGAACTGCTAAGAACTGCTACCTGCAGAACTGCTAACTGTCATCATCATGGCTTCTCAACTATTTGACAATGATGTCAATAATATTAGCGCATGTATTTCATCATTAAAATCAATTTCGACAGACGGCAATTGATTTGTGATAGTATTGAAATCATTCAGGTGTTGAGTAGCAGACACCTTCCGTCATCTTCAAGTTAAATAATTTTTTCATCAAATGCACATTGTTATTCGTCGATGGCTTTTCATAAATACCTGATAAAGCTGTCATGAGATCTGCAATAGGTCTCTCCTTGATGACGTTATGGGCAACGAATCTCAACATGGTCAATCGAATAACCCCCAAAACTTGTCGATCCAATAGATTCAATTCTATGTCGTTCATCTTTTCCACTTTTTTTCCAAGCAACGGCAAGTGAAAATTCTTCTCATAGAGGTAGTCATCTATCTGCATCCTCCAGTAACCAAATTTCTTGTCATTAAACTTCTCGATCCCCGATGCCATCACTTCGTCTTCGTCTACCGTTCTTCATTAGATCTGAAACCACGGCATTGATACTAGTTGTGAAAAACGACGACAATCAAGCGAAAAAATTGGATCGATAAAAAATCAAAAAACACAATAGGGAAAACACACAGATTTACATGGTTTGACAAATTGTCTGCGTCCACGGAGCTGCAAAAAAATTTATTACTTTGAGGAATTAAACTTGTCGATTCACCTCGACGATTAAAAGAAAGCACTCTTTCTCTCTTCCTCTCTCTAACTAAGAGCTATAGCGGATATCACAAAGAGAGAGAAAAACTTGCTATTGTTCTTCACGTAAAGCCACGCCAGAGAAGCTTGCTTCTCTCCTAACCAAAAAACTTCGGGAAGAAGAAGAATACTGGGAATTAATCCAAAAGCCAAGCCTCTTCTTATCTTTTTATTCCCGTGAGCAAAACCCAGCACTGAAGAAGGATTAAGGAAATTTATCAAAGAATTAGCCTATTTATTTCCTTTCCATTAATTGATTTCAGAACATGGATGGAGGGACCCTACTTCACACAAATAAGGAATTGATTAAATCCTTAATTCACTGCAAAGCCTTATTTGCTAAAAATGGAGGCGGGAAAATAAATAATAACAAGGAAATAAATAATTGAACTAAGTACAAGTTCAATTATATTCCTAATATGCAAAACTGTTCAAGAAAGGAGTATTGGACCAGGCTCCCAATACTCAACAGCCGAGATGAGAATGATTAGGTGAATAAGTGGCTTTACACTTAGAGACAAAATATGAAATGAATATATCCGTGATAGGGTCGGTGTAGCTCCTATGACAGGCAAAATTAGATAAAGTCATCTTAGATGGTTTGGTCACATTAAAAATCGACCATCTGATGATCCTATCATC